CCGTACGAAGCATATTGATATTCGATATCACTTTATCAGAGATCATGTGATGAAAGGTGATGTTAAACTTCACTTTATCCCTACAGACTATCAACTTGCTGATTTGTTTACCAAGCCTCTTGATGAATCTCGATTTAATTTTTTGATCAGTGAGTTGGGAATGTTAAATGTTGACAAATAATTTTTTTTTGGAGTCTTCGCTAATTCCTTTGGGTTGTGTGTTTTCTCTGCAAATGTTAATGTGTCATTTGTCTCAAAATATTCTGGTATCTGTGTGAATCTGCTTTCTTTCTTTTTCTAAAATATTGATTTTTTTAAAATGATGAGTTTTATACTCCTATTTTTTAAAAATTAGTCTCTCTTTTTATCTCTAAAATATCTCTCTCTCTATCTATATATATGATTAGTATTTTTTTTAAATTTATTAGTATCTTTAAAAAAAAATTAGAAGAAAAAGATACAAAGATAAAAAGCTTGTAAGTTTAGGTTTGTGTGTAATATTTTAATTTTCTTTATTTGTTACTATTGTTAACACTAGAAAAGTAATGGGCCTCCTCTCTTTGGGCCCAACCTAAACCCAACCTAAACCTAAACCCTCTTCCCTAACCTTTACCCTAAACAAACCAATCCACACACCCCCATCTCCCTCTTCGGCCTCTACCCACACACCGACCCTATCCCCCACCCCCCATCGGCTTCTCTCTCCTTAACACCAAATTCTCTCAACCCATCCTACAAGCCAATCCAATCGGCTTCCTCTAAATCTCCAAAACGATCCCCCCTCAAACCGATCTCTTCATTCGGCCACCCATCCCCTTCAAACCGATCCTCTCTACAACTACCTCTAGCCGCTTCCCTTTTCGACAAACCTCCACAAGATCACCTCTCCCCATCGGTCCCTTATCTCTCGGCTTTCCTCCACTCTACCCAAACCGATCAAACCCAAGCCGAAACCACCCCCACCCTAGTCGGCTTCCTTCTTCAAACCCCATCACACTCTTCTCCACATCGTTTGATCTAGCCGATCCTATCTTGAGCCTCTTTCCTCTCAACACACCGATCTCACCACCCACACCATTCGACTTCATACCCCTAATCAAGCCGATTACATAGGCCAATCACACCCCCCTTCCCTTCGGCTTCTTCTTTTCTTTCCCTTCACAATCCGCCTCCCCTTACCTCTCACAAGCCGATTACAAACCGCCTCCCCTCCCCTCTCAAATACACCCCTCGCACATCGAATCGTCACATAGGCCGAACTCTCCCATCTCACAAACTCACATTCGGTCTCTCCCTTCTCACCACCCACACCATTCGGCTTCTTCCCTAGCCGACTCCCACACCATTCGGTCCACACCATTTGGCCCACACACTTTCGGCCCATCCCCTCTCTTTTCTAAACCCTAGGACCCCCTCTCCCTCTTTATAAATATATCTTTGCTTTCCTCCTTTTCTTCACAAACCGATCCCCTCTCTCTCCACCAAACCAATCTCCCCTTCGGCCTCCACAAACCGAATACACAACCCCATTCCCACTACACAAACCGATTTTTTTTTCTCCTTAACCTCCTCAAGATCGAACCCACCCTTCGGCCTCTTTCTCCCTCACTAAACACACACACCGATTACCCTTTCCAAGCCGATTCGTTTTCCCCTCTTAAAACCCCATTCCTTCATCCACTCTACTCACCGACTCATCACAATTCTACACACCCACTCACCGATTTTCCATCCCCATACCCCCTATCGGCGGCCCCCCCATCTCCTTTTTCTTGTCCCCTTTTTCCCAACAAAATATCTTGTTCAACCCTCTCACTTACCCCCATCACATCCCATACACCCCATCCCCACCTAAGACCCACACCCCTATTCCTTACACCTTGCTTTTGACTTTTTACTTTCCCAACACAACTCCTTCTTTTACCCAACATATATTTCCCTTCTTCCTTTTTATTTAAAACCCTCTTAAAACCTCTCCTCTCTTCTCACTTTCAAACATCTTATTCTCTCATCTTCTTTAAAAACCTTCACCTTTCTTCTCTAAAGATTTTACTGTGTGTTTTTCAAGCTTCATCATCCATGGCTTCTAAAGTTGGGACTCCCTCCAAAGCTCCAAAGGTTAAGAAATCTATTCCCCTTAGTGCTGATGATGTTACTTTTTCTCCATGCAATTTTATGGCATTGTTGGATCACAATGAAAAGTATCCGAATTTCTTCATCATAATCGAATTTCTTCGTAAGTGCCCTCTTTTCAAAGCTCTTACTTATTCTCCAAAGATGAGTAAATCTCTGCTTCGTGCATTTTGGGCTACATGTATATATGATGCTTCCACTCAATCTGTGCATGCCTCTGTATTGTCTGTCAATGATATATCTTTTACTGCTGATGATTTAAGAAGGGTGTTAGAGCTTCCCACTTACTCCTCTTATGATGAGCTTATATCTGTTGATAATCTTCACATTGTTGCTACCACAATGGGCTATGTGCAAGACCCCGCTTTGCTAAAACAAAGCACTTTATATAGGAAGAATATGGGTGGTGTATGGAACTTTTTCTTTTCCCATCTTATTCAATGCTTGAGTTTCAAAACTGGAGAGATGGACCAGTCACCCTCTAGTGTTACCCAGCTAGCTCATGCACTGATTTTTCAAAGAAAAATTGATTTTGCTGGTTATCTCTTTGGGGAATTGGTAAAGAAGATGGGTAGTGCCAAAAGCTCTACCGTGCCTTTTATTAGATTTTTATCTATGATGATTGCCGATAAACTTGGGTCACTTATGCCGGCCGATACTGCAAATTTTTATGACCTCAAAGTGTCTCAAGTTGGCATTCAAACTTTGAAGAAGGCATCACTGTCTACCGATCTACCTCTTCCTTCAGGTATGGTTTCTTTTGCCACCTCTTCTCACCCTGTATGGGGAGAGTGCTCTGTG